ATATTCTGGTTGCTGTTGACTACGTCTCTAGGTGGGCTGAGGCGCAAGCTTTGCCCACTAATGATGCTAGACGTGTTTGTGGTTTTTTGAAGCAGCTATTCTCCCGGTTCGGGACACCTAGAGCCATCATAAGCGATCGAGGCACCCATTTCCGGGGCCAATTTGATAAGCTACTATCTCGCTATGGTGTGACTCACAAGGTGTCCGTGGCCTATCATCCTCAGACCAGTGGCTAGGCCGAGCTGACGAACCGGGAGCTCAAGCGGATCCTGGAGAAAACGGTGGATCAGTCCCGCAAAGATTGGTCCACCAAGCTCGATGATGCTCTCTGGGCGTATCGCACTGCCTACAAGACACCCATTGGTACTTCACCGTACCGGCTTGTCTATGGAAAGGCATGCCATTTGCCCGTGGAGCTAGAGCACAAGGCCTTCTGGGCCGTGTTTTTGGGCGCTTTTTGCCATTTTCTTCACCTTTCTCAGGGTATCTCCTTGCGTCTCCAGGTGTGTTATCTTTGCCTTGTCATATATTTTTTGAGAATCGATACCTATAGTTAGGTGAAGAACTTGTGATTGTGCAATAATTTGAGAATGTCTTGGTAGGCCGCTGGCTTTCTTTGCATGCTATATTTGATCTTGGGATTTCAGTTCCTCGGCCTACCATTTGCATGTTGGAATTATTTACGGGTTTGTGGTGATTTTGGGTGTGGTTGGTTGCTTGATGCTTAATTGGATTGGATTTGGTGTTTGTTTCCCGGGGGCCTAGTCCGTTGTCCAAATCGCTCGATTTGAGGGCCCCCGGTGAATTTGGTGGTGTGCTTTTCGTGTGATGGGTATGTCTTTTTATCTCCGGGAGTCTAGTCCATAGTCCATATCTTTCGATATGAGGGCTCCCGGTGTGATCTTGACTAACGTTGACCATGTTTGCTCGTGTCCCATTTTGTCTGCTCTTGTGCTTTGCAGGGTCATGGAACGCTACCTCGACTACTTGAGCATCACCCAGCGCCAGGCGCTGCGGACTATCCCCAATCGCACAATTCCCGAGCACCTATACCTCGATTTTGAGGTGTTCGATGAGCTTCACTGCAGGCCGCAGATGGAGGCCGCGGTGCAGGCCTATGGTTGGCGGCGCCTTCTCTGCTTTGCCGAGCCGACCTACCAGGAGCTCGTCTGGGAGTTCTATGCCTCCTTCCCCCCACAACCAGAGGGGGAATCGCGACCACAGCAACGCAATTCAGTTCACACTTGGCGCGGTCGAGCACTCCCTTAGTTACTGGGAGCTCGCCAGTGCACTTGGGGTCAACTCCCCGCATGCCAGCAGCGGGGTCCTGCACCTGGACATCTCTGATCCCACCGATTTTCCATGCCAGGCGTACTTCCGGAGGATCTGCCTACCCGACCACGTGGACGAGGAGTACGTCGCCAGCAAGACACGGGCTTCCCTCCTCCGGCCTGAGTGGCGCATCCTCAACCACCTGCTGACCAGTTCCTACACCCCCAGCCGGGGCTCGGCCAACCGGGTCACCCTTCGGACCCTGTTCTTCCTAGAGGCGATGGGTCGCCCTGACGACACCATCCAGCTGGGCTCGGTGCTCGCCCGGACAATCGGGAAAGCTGCCTCTCACCGGGATCGCGACCTTGTCTGTGGGCCGGTCATCACGGCCCTGGCCCGCTACTACGAGGTCGACATCACTGGGATGACCCAGGTCCACGGGCCCACTCCACTCAGCGAGACTAACCTCCGCAACCAGCACCTGGTGGCCTGCCTAGGGCGTCTTCGCTGGATTGCGGGCCTTCCCCAGCCACCTGAGCCAGCCCCGGAAGACCAGCCAGAGTCCAGCGCCGCTGAGTCACGCCGGGTTCCTCGCCGTGTACCCCTCGTGCCCAGGCTCCCGCGAGCTCCTCCGCTGCACCCAGATCTCCTGCTTCCAGGTCTCCTCCCCCCGTGGTGGTGCCCATCACTGATCAGTTGGCGGCCATCGCTCAGCAGAACGAGCGCATTCTGGCCGGCCAGGAGCGCATTAACACCCGCCTTGATTGTGAGCGGGACCGCGGCCGTCGTCTGATGTCTGGCCAGCACTACATCATGTCCTTCCTGGGCATGGACCCGAACGCCGTTCACTATCCTTTCGTCCAGTCCCCGGGGTATGAGGACCAGTACCCACCACCTGTCGGCGATGGTGGCGATGACTTCTAGTGGAGAGAGTACCTGGTTATGACCGTGATTCCTGTTCCAGACTGAGACTCCATGTTTTTGTTGTTTCATTTGGATTTGTTTTTTTTTTATTTTGGATTGTAGACTTGGAACTTCTGTTCTATCACCCAGTGTGTGTCTTGTGTTGACTTTAGCTCTGTGCCTCGGACTGGGTCCCCTTCCAGTCTTCTGCTATTGTCTGGTCTGCCTCTCGATCTCCGTTCCTGATTTCACGGTAACATCGTTCCCCTTCCTTCTGCTCCATTGAGGACATTGTCGCATTTAAGTGTGGGGTCTTTGTATTAATTGGAACGGGTGTATGGGTGCTTGGAGCCTAGTCCACTGTCCAAATCTTGAGATTTGAGGGCTCCAAGCACTGCTGTTTGCTTGATATTTGATCGTATTGGCACTGTGGATGTGATTAGAGAATTGAATGGCTTTTGACTCGATGCATGACAACTTGAGTGTGACTACGATAGCCTATTACGATGACTGAGATGCGTAGTAGAGTTGTGTAGGGGTTCAGTTTTCAACTGTTTGCTTACCAACTGCGACTTGCATTTGATCACTTGCTTTTGACAGTCATTTATGCATCTAGTTCAGGGAATCAGAATGTGAGATAGAGCATATAGGTAGCCATGTGAGATTTGAGCCTGCTCGTTTCTTTCTTGTGCGATAGATCCCTCTTCCATGAAATGTAGCATTCACGTTGTCACTAGCTAAGATGATGGAGGCATAGGATTAGCCCACGACCAAACTGACTGTCCTGATGTGTCATACCCCCTAGTCAGCCCCTTTGAGCCGTGTGTTATCCTTTCTTTCGGTCTGAAATGAAAAATCACCCTTTGCATCTTTTAGAAGGTTCCACAGAGTGGTTTTTTGCATGTTTTCTGCTGTTCTGCTAAATGTAATGTGAGGGTTGGAGGTAGTGCTTAAAAGTTGGACGTCTGTTTGAAAAATATGCAGAGGTGGTGGTTCTCTTAAGGAATGAATAAAGAAAAAAAAAACAAAGAAACAATGAAAGCAAAAGAGAGCCACCACCAAAATTCTGAATAGTGCCCACTAAGTAGTGTTTCCTAGCAGTCTAGCTTGGAAACGTTAACATTCATATAACCTCCTTCGCTCTTGTGCCCTGAAGAAGTTGAGTAATGCAGAATAGCAGAATGAAAGTTACTGGTTTGCTTGACCGTGGTTTTGTTGGGGTTGGAAATGTGGAACCTTGTCCTAGAACTACCACCACCTAAAAGGCCGTTTCCCCATGTCCAAGACCCTAGCCAGTCATTTGAACCTGTGTCTAAGACCTCCGGATTAGTTAGTGGTGACACCCCCTTATGTGAACTCTAGCATTTAGAGGCTGCATTCATGGTGAAGAGACGTTAGGGATTGAGAGAATAAGCATGCGCATTTTTCGCATCAACTTGTCCTGACCCCACTGGTCGAGAGTGAGTGATTCATTTTCTCATTTTCTCTATACTCTTTACCCTGGTGAGGACCTAGATTGCTCGGTCTTAATTCTGATATCTTGAGCTTTGTGCATGAAGTGACTGTTTTGAACAAGTGATGGAGTCAAGTCTATGTTGGGTGGTGAACGGGAAAGAACTCTTCCTTTACTCGACTTTATTATATTCGAATGCCATCTGTGGTGGTTGTCTAGGTTGTCGTTCGAGTTGCCATGTATTGATGATCGAAAGCCAATATGATCCACGTGTTTTGTGCCAATATGATTTGCCCTAAAGCCTGCTTGATTGGGATGTCTCGAGCTTACCTGGTGTCTGACTTGGTTTGCTTAGGGACAAGCAAACGGTTAAGTGTGGGGGAGTTTGATAACGATGTAATTGCATGGTTTTATACCCCTATTTCTTATCTATTTGCGGAGCATGGTTGTGTGTTTTGGCCTATTTTACGCCGGGTTGTGCTACTTTGTCCTATTTCAGGTCCCAGGCGTCGAAAGGAAGGCCAAGCGCGAGTTTCGGATCGTTCGAGCCAGGGCCAAAACACGGGCAGGAGGCCCTCAGAACAATTCGGTAGTGGAGGTTTTGTTCATAGGGCCTCAATCTGTTTACTCCGGTGGAGGTTAGTCGCCCGCTAGAGACTCAGATTGAGAGGATCTGAAGACCTTTAGTAGAGACTTCAGACTGTTTGAGAACCTTCCGCAGTATAACTATCATAGAAATTGAACTTGGTAATTACAATCCGGCTTAACTGCAGTCTAGGGGGAACCATATCCGGGTGACCTCTCTTAACCTGAAAACAACCGTTTAGTTGCTTTGCTTGCTTGTTAGTTTAAATCTTCACTAAAGTTTCATTGCTAGATAATACGAATTCACTGAGTAGTCATCACATCTAGGACCCGGGTTGACATTAAAACCCAAACCCGCTATACTACGCTTTAGGAAGTGGTTACACTTGGCCATTTTCTAGAGTGACAGTAGGAGTGAGTCACTTATCCTTAACTATTTCAAGACCAAACAATTACACTAAGTGGCTGCGCAACAAGTGTTGAAAGAGTATTTTTCAGCTTTGAGTTACATAAAAACCAAACTAAGAAATCGAATATGCTATTAGTTCGTGAATTATTGTCTAGTAGGATATATTTATTTGTTAAGCAGTGTAGACATTAAATATTAATCAGAGAAAGAACAGAAACATGATTTTCCTATTCACCTTTTTATAATGGAAAACATGATATTTAGCTCTTCATTTTTCTTGCATTTTCTTCTCCCACATACAAATAAATCTATATACATTATTAAATAAGATAAATCGTATACATAAAGTCATAAAATTTACGGAATTTACAAATTCCTTCACGGTAAATCTAAAGGAGGAAGCCCGATACCACCACTGTTGCCTCCCCCTCCGCCACCGCCACCTCCGCCGCCTCCTCCTCCTCCACCGCCGCCGCCTCCACCACCACCACCACCGCCTCCACCACCTCCTCCGCCACCGCCACCTCCTCCTCCTCCTCCCCCTCCACCTCCTCCGCCTCCCCCGCTGCTGCCGTCGACAGTGCTGTCACCGATATCATCAGATTCACCGCCCGAATCATCCTCCGCCTGCAAAATTGCCCCATTGACGATCATGTACAAATGCCTCCATTTTCGCAGCTCGGGGGCCACCTTCTGGAAATCCGCATTTCGCTTCATCAAACTCTTGCAATTCTGGTAATTGTCCAACGCTGAGTGGATGTCAAGGCTCATGGTCATGTCCCCAAGCCCTCGAGGGTTGAAGAAGATCTTTGCATCCTTGAAATCGAAGGCACACATCTTGAGCGCATCCTGAATCTTCTGGCTCGTGCCGTGTTTCCTCTCCATCTCATTGAACATATTGGTCAACATCACCGACTGCTTTTTCGCATGGTCCATGGCGATCGTGGCCAGGGACTTGACGTCCCCTGCCCCTGCCATTTTCGGGTCGGATTCAAGGGTTTTGATGCATGAGGCATAGTTAGAGCTCTTCCGACAGACAGATTCGGCAAGCTTCGAGCCGGAGAGGGAGTGGGATTCAACACCCAGGATGGGAGAAAACAGAGCAAGGAGAAGCAGAATTGGGATCGGAAGATGGATGGGTTTGTTAATATAAGCCATTATTTTTTTCATTTTTTATTTTTTATTTTTGGGGATCGGTGAATTTGGCGGAGGATTGTTCTGACTTGAGGAGGGATTGAAGGATTTATAGAAATGGCAACAAGAGCTAATTTTAGACGGGTCCTTTTAAAATTTTGCTGGGATAGAATGTATTGACCTCAGAAAAAAGGAGAGGTGGTTGTGACTCAAAAACTCTTGATCGTTAATTAGAAGAAAAAAAATCATAATTAACTTGCATCATCGAAATGTACAGTAGGAACTCAGTCTACTCAATCTTTTTGGCGTGAAAATATAGCCAAAATTGAAAACCCAAATCAAGTCCAAACCGTCTTTCATTTCCGAAAAATATTACATTGACTGGGTTGACAATCAAGGCACGTGGGCAAATATATAAACGAATCTTATTTTATGTGGAAAATTATAATATACAAAAATATTTTTGTAAAGCTCATAATTCTGGTATATTAGATCATCTCCAAAAGAGGAGTTAAAAGTGCAAAAATTAAAATGTCTTCAACAGCAAGGGCTAAAGTACCAAAATGTCAAAATTTTAAACTTCGAGTGCCAAATTTGGGCAAAAAAAAGAAGACAAGAGTGCTAACATTTTGGGGCCCATCACAAAATTGATATTGTTGGAAAATAACCAGTAGGGGAAATAACCACAATCAACATAAGCACATTCGAATTTCTACGTACATCCAACCTGGTTACGATTGATTCCATGGAGGTAGCACGAAGAAATGGTTTTCTCGGGTTTGATTTGTTATGGGTTGGATTTTTAGGCGCTAATTTCTCAACTTTTAATTTGCAGAGCATAGAAGAAGACTTACATGTATGTATTTTTTTTCCACAATGCATAAGTTAGCAAAAAAAATCTCACAATATACACTTGGCAAAATATTTTCCAAAATACAGTACTTTGGTGTTGTTTGTGATACACTAACAATCAATGTAGTTGGCTGACAGTGAAAAAATAGAACAAAACAAAGAAAAAACATAATTAGAGAGAAGGGGTTACAAGGACCATTAATCCTTCACCTTCCTTATCGTTTCACTCCATCGTCTTCTCCCCCTACCCGTTCTCGAGTGACTTGAGTTAAGTGCGCGCCTGGCGATTCTTCTGTTGGCACCACTATCCTTTACTACTGCCGCCGCCAATGGCGTAGCCGGAAATTCATCTAAGATATGTCCAACGTGAAAAAGATATAACGTAAGTTTCAAGATTTGTTTTCATATTCTAAAGAATTTCTAAACATTCATCATGCAAATTATGAGGGATGTTAAGATATCACACCGAAAAATCATTCATGGTTTCATCACTTATATGATTATGAAGTGGTTTTTAACTTCGTTCATTGTAGTAAGTGCTCTTCCAATGCTTACATGGACAATTGATAGCAATAAACACCCATAGGTTTCGAGTTTTTCTATATTAAACTCAGTTACATAATATATGAATTACTGACTCATTCCTAACTACACAAATAAAATCCCGAATAGAGCCCAAGTATAAACTCTAGTAGGGTGCAGTATAGGGCAAACATTTTAATATGTCAACCCGGGCAAGTTCATTTACACCTACTTTAACCATTTTAAACGTTATCTAGCTATTGGTTTTGAGTGAAAACTAAGAATTAAATTTAAAGCAAACAAGAAATTGAATTGTTGTGGATTCTATATGAGAAAACTTCGTCCGGGTATTGCTCCTCCTATCCTTGTATCAACTTGCAATAATTGGAAATCTAGTGTGAAACAATGTGTTCTTATACCGCGAGGATGCCACAACTATTGGAAAATTCCCACTCTCTTAGGCAACCAATTAAGGAAAAGCAATTAAGCTAGAAAACCTAAGTCTCTCAATCAATCGGCTAAGGATTGCTAACCAATCCCTTAGAGGTTAATCCAGAACGGCGACAAAGCAATAAAACACAATCAAATCGTGACGCTATATCGATGATGCTTGAGGTGTGTCCCTAATCACCCTAGAAGTGGTTATCCAATTTGCCAAGAAGTGGTCCGATGACACCGTATTTACACATGATTTTCCCAACATTTCTCGACCGTTTGGCTTAGCTCTTGATTGCTCTTTGGCCCATTTTGGGATAGGTAGTGCTTGTCGATAATGTTTCAGGTCCTAGCACGTAAATGGATGCTGAGGAGCAAGTCTAGGTGCAACTAGAGACCCAAAGCTTTTAAATGATGCTCATTTTGAAGCTCACGCATCCGGCCAACAAAGCTTTTGAGGGAATGCAACCTATGTTTATACAAGTTCCTCTGGCGACATCCCCTTCAACAATAGCAATTTTCAAAACCAGGCCCAAAAAAAAGTCAGACTAGAATTCTTTCAACCGCTAATTACCAAATTCATATGGACCACTTCAACCACTTCACGAGAACTTCAAGCCTAAACCAATCAACTCTACTTCAAACTCTTCGAAGTTCTCAATTTGCTCAAACTAGCAGCAATGTCGATAAAATTAGACCAAGAAAACCCACCACCGTACCTTCTCAACAACTTACTGCTGCTAGTTGGATTATGCTTCAGTCCTGGAAACAAAACATTGTCAGGAAAATCAAAGCGCTTGGAAGTGTGATTGTTTGCTTGCAGCTCACAGTGGCGAAGCTTCTGTTTAGACTACTGAGTACAGACCTGGGCTCTTGGAGAAATTCAACTCCACAGCCTTACAGGGCAAGACTCGAGCTTAAACCAAGCAAACCTTCTGTTGGGACTGGGATTGAAGTAATCTCAAGAATCAATCAATCACAAAGAGGTAGAAACCACAAACTAGGAAGGATTGTGTCGGCGGAAGAGAAGCCGACATGGAACACATAGAATAATAAAGACAATGTAGAGATGGTGTGTGTAGAAAGAGAGCTTCAACATATTCCTCATCATTTGCCTATTGACATCCTCCTCAGTATTGGACCAGCCGATCCCGGTGTCGCTTCATCCTGTAACGAGAAATCAAAGTCTATCAACTAATCGAAAAATGGCAAAATCAGTTCAGTGAGAACCACAATGCCGCAAATTACGGCTGATTCGGATTGGAATGGCTGAATTGGAAATGTTGTCGAAGCCGGGCAACAACAGAACCTTGTGAGGTGTTCGGGAGTTGCAAATAAAGATGACCAACATGCATAAATTTCAGTTGTCCCAGTCATAGATCTCGTCTGTAGCCGCAGGGTTCCGGATACGCGCCGCGACAGTCCAGGCCCGAAGGAGACCGACTAGGCATCGAGGATGTTGTGCACCACAAGCAATGCGATGGCCACACCGCCGCAAAGAAATGAGGCTACCTGAACGAGGAGGACGAGGAACCCAATGGCAGTGGGGTGAAAATTTTATTCTCCACTACATTGAGAAGGAAGAGTCGGCGCAGCGCAGTAAGCTGTTTTAATGAGCGGGGGATGACGAGGAATCGACAGGAGGCGAAGCTCGATGGCCGAGCTCCGGCGAAATATGGTGGGGTGAATCTAGGGTTTTGTGGCAGAGACCTGTGAGATGAAGAGCGGGAGAGGGACGAGACTGATGTGGAGAGAGGGAGAGAGGAATTTTGGATTCTTTATTTTTTTCTTTTCAATTTATTTTTATATTTTATATTTTGGGGTGGAAATTATTAAATGATTATGTATAATTTTTTCTATTTTTTAATTAACAACTCATCAATTTGACAATCAAACGTTAGTATTGACTGCACATGCGATAGATTTAATGCAACCAAACGACGAGTGACCAAGAATGATATAAACAGGTAGTATTTATGCTAAATTGAAAGGAAAGTGATTTGGGTGGATAACGCGTTACAAATACGTAATATGAGTGATCAAACTTGCAATTCACCCTGAAAAGTTAGTTGGGGGAGTGTGAATTTCAAATTTTGGGTGGGCTAAAAATTGGGAGATTGAAAAGTGGACAGTTAAAAATTGGCAGGGGATGAAATTTGGGTGGGAAAAAATTGTGTCGGTCGGGCCTATTGGTTTCAGTCTAACACAAATGTCTTTTTGTCAAAAACGAAACCACTATTTTGAGATTTTCTGACGAACGTGCCTTTTGTCAAAACATAAACCACTAAATTATGACAAACATGCCCTTTTGTCAGCTCGCCATGAGATTATTGCTATATATTATGACAAAATACTTTATCATTTAAACAATTCAGGAATGCATAATATGACAAAAGTTACTCTGACGATATAATTTGTCACTTTTGTGTCTCTTACATCCCGATATGGTATGCCTATTTTGACAAACTTAATTGTGACACGGAATATTGGTCACATTACTCACTATAAATGACGAACTATTCTGACAAAAAGAAATTTTGTCACTATTGAGTCTCTTACATCCCGATATAGGACGCCTATTTTGACAAAATTAATTGTGACACGAAATATTTGTCAGATTACTCACTTTAAATGACGACATATTCTGACAACAATTCGTTTGTCACATTAGGTATACCAAATAGAACATATATTATTTTTGTCATATCACCGTACCTAATGTGACAAACAGAAAATGACAAAATAAAATTTTTGTCCTAATAGGCCGAATTTGTTGTAGTGCGGAACTGAAGGCCAAAGCAGCCAAATCCACAGTATGGAGCCTCAAATCCACGATCGTGGATTCCATGAATGGATCGTGCTTTTTGCTCAGGGAAAATCCACGGTATTGTAATGTAATTCCACGATCGGGGATTTAAAGGAGGCAACCGTGGGTTTTGGGCATTGCCACTAATGGCTGTTGCTGTGTTTTGGGAAATCCACGGTCGGAACTCCAATTCCACGACCATGAATTTTGGCTTCGGATTTCTAAGGTGTAGCTAGTGGAAGGGTGTTGGGAATCCGATTTTCCAAGATAAAAAAGGGCTAAAGAGAACCCTAGAGAGAGAAAGTGACGAAGAACACCCTTGGGCACAGATTAGAGCGACTTGTAGATTTTCATTATCCCCATGATGATTTCTCTACCAAGCTTGGCATTTTCCCTTCTCTCCATGGAG